CACTTACGTCGACGAGGTTCCTCCACCTGGGGCGAACATAGTCGATGGCATGTGGATTTTCAGGGTGAAGCGGCCGCCGGGTGTCAGAATGTTTAGTTTGTCTAGCCTGCAGTGGGGTACTCTATAGTGAGTACGGCCCCTTAGGGTTTCCTATATGTATCCACCTGCTTGCTAGTGCAAAAGCCCCTTTGCCTATTTTCTCTTGCCTAGCTAGCTAAACCCTAGCTATGGCTCCTCGTTCTGCCTGCTATTGTGACATGGTATTAAGAGCTCGTTCGATCCTAACCTGTGGGCCCACCCTAAGCTTCCGCTGCTTTCGTGTCTGTCGCGCGCCCCGTGGTGCGCGACGCTTTTTTCTTCTCGCCACGCGCTCAAGGCGCGCGTCGGTTTTCTGCCCGCCGTGCGCCCGAGGCGCGCGGCGGTTTACTGCCTCACGCGGCGCCCTGGGGGCCCGCGCGCTGCCCTACCCGTCGCCCGTCGCGGCGCCCTAGGGGTCCGCGCGTCGCCCTGCCCGTCGCCCGTCGCGGAGCCCTGGGGGCCCGCGCGTCGCCCCCCCATCCCGTCGCCCGTCGCGGAGCCATGGGGGGCTGTGCGTCGCCCTGCCCGTCGCCCGTCACGGCGCCCTGGGGGGCAGCGCGTCGCCCCCCCCTCCTGTCGCCCGTCGCGGCGCCCTAGGGGGCCGCACGTCGCCCCTCCCGTCGCCAGTCGCGGCGCCCTGGGGGGCCGCGCGTCACCCCTCCCGTCGCCCGCCGCGGCGCCCTGGGGGGGGCGCGCGTCGCCCCCTCCCGTCGCTCGTCGAGGCGCCCTGGGGGCCCGTGCGCCGCCCCGCTTCCGCTCACACGCCGCCCCAGCTGCTGCCCGCGTTTCTGCCCTGCGTTGGGGGTATGGGGGTGGCGGGTATGGGGGTAGCGGGTGTGTGAACCGTCCCCTCCTCCTCCTCCTCCTCCATCTCCCACTGCTGCAGCTACCGCTGAGGGGGGTGGGTGTGTGGGAGCCGAAGGAGTGGTGCTAGAGGGGTGTCGTGGGAGTGAAGCTAGGGGTGCAGCAGGGGGTTTGAACGGGAGTTTTGGGACAAAGGGGGAGGTTGAAGGGGGGTGGCCGCCGTGAAGCCAGCAGCTCCAGTCGCCCGTGAGACCGTTGCGCCAGTCGCCCGTGAGCCCGTCGCTCCAGTTGCCCGTGAGCCCGTTGCTCCAGTCGCCCGAGAGTCAGTTGCTCCTGCCGCTCGTCTAGCCGCGGAGCCAGTTACTCCAGTTTCCCGTGTGCCAGTTGCTCCAGTTGCCAGTGTGCCAGTTGCTCCAGTTGCCTGTGTGCCAGTTGCTCCAGTTGCGCCGTGTGCCAGCAGCTTCAGCTGCCGCCCACTACCTCCTCTCCTCTCATAGTCCCTCCTCCTCCACACTTGCCCTCTGTGATAGCTTCTAGCTTTGCTTATATTTGTGAACTATAAACTGCTGCTTGTTGTGCTGATCATACCCCACTTTGACTATGGGGGTGTGTCAGAATGTGTAGTTTGTCTAGCCTGCAGTGGGGTACTCTATAGTGAGTACGGCCCCTTAGGGTTTCCTATATGTATCCACCTGCTTGCTAGTGCAAAAGCCCCTTTGCCTATTTTCTCTTGCCTAGCTAGCTAAACCCTAGCTATGGCTCCTCGTTCTGCCTGCTATTGTGACACCGGGTTCTCCGCCTGCCTTCAAGGCGCGTTACGTTGCTCGAGGCTTCATTCAGCGACAGGGGGTTGACTACTTCCAGACCTTCTCCCCCACCCCGAAGATGACTACTCTTCGGGTGTTGCTGCACGTCGCTGCTCAGCGTGACTACGAGTTGCACTCTCTGGACTTCAGCACAGCTTTCCTGCAGGGCATCCTGCAGGAGGAGATCTGGCTGCGCCGCCCACCTGGCTTCACTGAGTCGTTTCTTGCAGGTACTCAGTGGAGCCTCCGCCGGCCAGTCTACGGTCTCCGCCAGGCGCCCCGAGAGTGGTACGACACACTGAGGACTACACTTGCAGCTCTTGGGTTTGCTCCTTTCTCTGCTGACCCGTCGTTATTTCTACGCACCGACACTACCCTGCCGTCGTTCTGCGTTCTAGTGTACGTCGACGAATTGATTTTTGCTACTGCTGACACTGAGGCGCTGGCCTTAGTGAAGGCGGAGCTCCAGGAGAGACACAACTACACTGACCTGGGTGAGCTGCGTAGCTATCTTGGCTTGCAGATCACCCGGGACAGAGCACGGCGCACCATCACCCTGACTCAGCCACACATGGTGCACCAGGTCCTTCAGCGCTTCGGCTTCCACTTCTCCTCGCCACAGCCCACTCCTCTGTCTACCGGCCACTCGCGCTCAGCTCCACCTTCGGACGAGTCCGTAGAGCCGAGTGGTCCGTACCCAGAGCTTGTGGGTTGCCTCATGTACCTGATGACGTGCACACGACCTGACCTCGTGTACCCTCTCAGCCTCCTGGCTCGCTACGTGGCTCCCGGTAGACACCGAAAGGTGCACTGGGATGCTGCGAAGAGGGTGCTGCGTTACTTGTGCAGTACATCGGGCATGGGGCTAGTGCTTGGAGGACAGGATTTAGTGGTACTCACAGGACACTCCGACGCTTCTTGGGCCGACGACCAGGCGACTCAGCGTTCGTCAAAGGGTTACACCTTCAGTCTTGGCTCTGGTTCTGTCTCGTGGAGGTCCACTCCTTCTTCTGTGCTTAGTTCCAGCTATGAGGCCGAGATCTACGCTGGGGCCATGGCTGCACAGGAGCTACGCTGGCTGACCTACCTGCTGACTGACTTGGGGGAGCGGCCTCGTTCTCCTCCAGTTCTGTACGTCGACAACAAGGCGATGCTTGCCTTGTGTCACGAGCAGAGACTGGAGCACAGAACGAAGCACATTGCTCTTCGCTACTTCCTTGCGCGTGAGCTGCAGCAGCGTCGTCAGCTCCACCTTTCCTACGTGGCCTCGCGGTCCAACACTGCTGATGTGTTCACCAAGGCCCTTGGGTCTGGTGATCATCAGCGTTTCTGCACTGCTCTTGGGCTTGTGCCCACTCTGCCTCACCTGCTGGTTGCTTGACTTGCTCTTGTTGTACACTGATATATATCTTTATACCTGCTTGTTTACTCTTGCCGGGTTGTGATCAGTGTACTGCCTTGTTAACTCTGCATGTGAACTGGCCTTGTGGCCGCTTGCTTGTGCTCGGATTGTGTGGTGTCTTTGAGATCCACCCTGAGCTTTGCTTTGCTCTGTTGTCTTGCTTGACTGGTCTTATGACCGTCTTGTTGTCCCCCACTTAGCCTATGGGGGTGTGTCAAAGTACAATCTTACTTGTTGGTTATAGTGGGGCACTCCTTATGGGGTACAACACTTCTAGGGTTAGTACTTGTACCCCAACTCTTGCTAATCCAATCATTCCTGCACAGTTATTCTGACAGGCATATGCTGCTTTTTAACTGCCTCCCCCTATCTCCACTAAATGCAAGCATATGCTTGCACACTCAGACCGTAATACGAGGTATGTCAATGTAGTAAGGAGGCTCAACCATTGCATGAAGATTCTATTTCACAAGAACTCCATCATTCTAACATGTCATGTCACTCTTGTTTTTTCCTGCTTCTTAGAGTTTGACTACCTCGTCTATCTACCCCTCTCTCATCCCCACTTTCACCAGAACCTCTCACGCCTAAGCTTTTCCGCCGCACACCATTAACCCTCCCAGGTGCTAACACCTCCATTATGTTATTGACCACCCCTCTATTATACACATTCTCTACAGGAACACTAGCAGGATCAACCCAAATTCTTCGAATACGCTCATCTCCTCCTGCTCCGCCAAAAACCATCGACCACAGGCCAGAGAACCACCCGGCACCGTACTCCCGCACTCGCAACCTCGAAAAGTCAATTCCGATTGCCTGCTGCTTCGTTTTGGCTCCCGTTCCTTGCCTTCCTCGTTTCTCTGGCTTCTCTCCTTCGTTTGACACACGCGGCACTGCTGCTGCTGGTGCTGCTTCTGTTGATAGTGGTGGTGTTGCTGCTGTTGCTGTAGCTGCTGAGACCACTGTTGCTTCGGCCGTCCCAGCTTCTCCATCATACCTTGCCTTCACGCCAGTTTTGCTCGCCTTCCTTTCCCGCTCTGTCTCACTCCTCTCAACTTCCTTCACTACCATCTTCTCCCCCCCTTCCTTTTCCCCCTCTTCCCTCTTCTCCTTCTTCTCCCCCTCAGTCTTCCTCCTCACCATCCATTCCATCCTCTCTTCCTCATGTTCCATCACCCTCGTTTTGTGTGCTGAGATTTCCCCCTTCTTCCCCCCCTCACCGTTCTCTGCTCCCACTCTCCTCCTTTCCTCCTCCTCGCCCCGTTGCTTCTGCTGCAGCATCCTGGAAGCTTCGTGGGCCACCCACCGCCGATAGTCAGCCCACTTGTATGTCTGGAGTGGTGAAATGCGGTGAGAAGAGGTGAAGTAGCGGATGGGGTGAAGTGCGGTGAAAAGCGGTACGAATGGGGTGGGCATGGAGCAAGTGATTCATTGACAAAGGAAAGGCAACTGGATTGCAGATGCAGGACGAGACGCAGGAGACGAGAAGAATGAAGCTGACAGAAATGACTTATTAAACGGTTGGTGGTGACGTTGGAGAGGACGGGGTGACTTTTGAGTCGACTCAGAAGTCGGCAGGAGACGAGAAGAATGAAGCTGACAAAAATGACCCATCAAAAGGTTGGTGGTGGTGACATTGGTGATTACAAGGTGGAGGTGGTAAAGGAGGAAGTAGGAGAGAGAGAAGAGGAATGAGGGAGGTAGAGTTGACGAACGAAGCAGGTTAAGTTGGTTGATGAACGGGGAGGTGGAGAGTACCTTGGTTGGTGGTAACGTTGGTGACTACGAGGTGAAGGTGGTAGAGGAAGAAGCAGGAGAGGATGACGAGGATGACAATAATGACGTACATGTGTGTGTGGAGGGGAAGAGAAGGGGGGGGTGTTGGTACACAATGTGTACCTACGAACCTCGTTGGTGGTGACGTTGGTAACGACGAGGTGGAGGTGGTAGAGGAGGAAGCAGGAGAGGACGAGGAGGATGACGAGGAAGAAGAGGAGCAGCGCGCACTGGCGGTGAAAGTAGACTGTGAGCCACTGGGGATGGGGGGAGGGGGAGAAGATATTGGGCGAGGAGAGGGGGGGGGGGGGGGGGGGGAGTGAGAAGAGCAGGAGGAAGGTCAGACAATTGGGAAGAAGAGGAGCAGCGCGCAGTGGCGGCGGAAGTAGACTGTGAGCCACTGGAAACGAAGGGAGGAGAAGAGAGGGGAGGAAGTTATACGAGCTGAGAGAAAGAGGAGCAGAGCGCATTGGTGATGGAAATACACTGTGAGCCACTGCAAACGAGAATAGATGGTGGACGTAGTCTGTGAGCCACCAGGGATGGGAGGAGGAGGAGAAAAGAGGGGAACACAGGTGGAGGGGGGCAGGGAGGGGGAGGATGAAAGGAGCAGGAGAAGGTGGCAGAAAAAACACAGTGGGTTAAAATACTCTGCTCAGCTAAACCCCTCTCAGAAACTGTTCTCTCAGCTCACCTGAGCGAGGATAGGAAGCCAGCCGAAAACGTGGGTCCTGGACGGATCATGGTCTGCAGTAGAGAAACAATCGGGGGAGGCGGGAGGGAGGAGGGAGGGGATAAGAGGAGGTAAGCACTTGATCATACCAATGCAAAGGACCCCTTGTGAGAAACAAGGTGACTGATTCTTGTGTTACTGCTTAAGAGTGAGGTGAGGAGAGAGCATGGATTCGTAGAGCTATGAAGATAAGCGCTTGTTGTCCTGAGATGAGACGCTTCAAGAGACGACAACACAGGAGGTATGATAACAGGGTATGACCTAACACACCTACGATGGCATGGCAGTTATGACAACAAGGCATGACCTGACACACACCTATGATCGCAGCGATGACTTTGCTGCGGGTGATTTCGCCTGCCAGGATAGAGCAGACTCCCAACACACCATACGCCAGAAAGCAAATGTTTCTGAAGGAAGGGAGTGGGAGTGGAGGTGGGGTGAGGGGAGGAGTTGAGGGTGTGGGGTGGTTGGTTTCGGGGCATGTCAATGCAGTCAGGATATAACAGACGCAGCCAAACACACCATTTGCCAGAAAGAATATGTTTCTGATGGGCGGAAACAGACAACGTTGGTGGTATGGCCGGGGGAAGGGGTTGGGACGGGGTAAGTCAAGGGCAGAACAAATTAATTAGGCAGGAAAAGACACCAAACACGCCACACGCGAGATGGCATTTGCTTCTGAAGAGAATTGACCCATATCTATCACCTATGATGATGGCAGGTAGTAAGGACGACAGGGAATGGCCTGGTGTGTACAGGTGTGCGTACATGTGTGCGTGTGTTTCTCACCCTAACCCCCCCACATCCCTCCCACATCCCTTCCCATGCCTCCCCCATCCCTCACCCCACCAACATCCGAATCCCTCTCCAAACTCACGCAAAGAGGAAGAGCAGGAAGTAGCGAAGGTTGTTTTCCCCAACACAGTTGTTCTGAGAGAGGGGATAGCGAGAGAGAAAGAAGTGAACTTCAAAAAGGGTATAAATGCCAATGAGAGGCCCTTGAAGGCTACACGGCTGAAATGAAAACACAGTTTAGGAAAAGTGAGCGTTTGGAGACAGTTGGTGATCTCTCAAAACCCAGCAGCACCACTCACCACCCATCCGCAGTGGTGGTCGAATCTGGAGATGCAACGGTTGCACACCCTGCAGTGCTTGGCTCGTGCTGGCCTGGGTAAGGAAGAAGGGGGAAAATGGAGGAAGAGAGCTCGTGCTGAATGCGGGATGAGGGCAAGGAAAGAAGGGAGAGGTAAAGACGGGAAGGGAGATGGAAGAGGGGAGAAGGAGGAAGAGTGGAAAGTGGATAAGGCAACCTTTTTTACCAAACAATTAGAGACAAGCGGTACCAGACCTGGGTATCTTGCAGGAGGAGCAGAAGGACTTTTGAGTCGACCCAAAAGTCCTGGGGCAGTTACTTTTCAAATACCTGGGTATCTTGCAGGAGGAGCAGACTCGTCTGGTGTAGATGACCCCATCGTATGGAAACACTGCCTGGGTCTGTTGCACTGTAGCGGATGTGACTGTACCGGGGTCGGATATACTCGCTATAAGGAACGTTGTGAGGGTGGCGATGAGGGATGCTGGCGCCGTGTATCTGAGAAGGTGGACATGGGAGAGATGGGAGAAAGAGCGGAAGGATGGATCAAAGGGGGAAAGGGGGGACAAAGGGACAGAAGGTTGTGAAAGCTGAGAAGAGGGATGCTGGTGCCTTGCACCTTAGAGGAAGGAGGTGGGAAGACGTGGAGGCAGAGAGAGCATGAAAAACGGAGGGGAATGAGGAGAGGGTTGCGAGGGGTGGGGAGGTACGCTTTGAAAATAAATCTCATGCAATGAGGAAGATAGATGGTGATGGAGAGAAGAGCAGAAGGATTAAAGTGTGTATAATTACAAGCAGAGGTGCTTTCCGTATAGAAGAGCATACGGATGGCGAGAGACATGGATGGAGGAGAGGAGCGCAGGGGGAAGGGGACCTGTGGATGGAGGAGAGGTAGGGTCCGGGGATGAAGCTCATGCAGTAGACGTGAAAGGCATAGTAGCCTCCGATCACCAGTACGAGGTAGATGATCTGCAATGGGGGTTGGGGAGGATACGCGATGGAAGCGAGAGTGTGAGATACACAAACATGAACAATATCTCCAGAAAATCTCAGGCTGATTGTTGACAAATTCGCCAGAAAAATATTTGGGGGGTCGCCGATGGAAATAAACGAACCTGGAAAAGTGGGTTTCGCTGCTCGCAGCAGAAGTGGAAGATGACGTCACCAGCTCGTTCACCTCTCTCGCCAAAGAAGAAACGGAGAAGGTAACTGTACGGAGAGATGACACGGGTGTCGGTACAATTTGCAATATGAAGGATGACAGCTAGAGTTGACACGAGGCAAAGGGGATGTTGTGCAGTTGTGCTGCGTTGACAATATTATACACGACTTTTTGTAACCGAAAAATGACGAATTTGGTGTGCGGGTTATCCGCCAGAGAAGGTTACGCACAATGGAACCTCGAAAACTCCGGACGTGATCCAATAGTGCGCGGAGCTTATAACGGTGCCATCGAACGAAGCCGACTCCCCAAACAGCAGGACGAAAAGCACGAAACCCAGCAATGCCACGTAAGCGAACAGCAGCAACAGTGTTGAATCCATGGCGCTAGCTGGCCGTTGGCAGGCGGATCAGGGTGTCTAGAGAGGAATGAAACGGAATCAGTCAAGGATCCATCAGACCAAAGTGGTCAGTAGTGATCAGTAGCATCAGATGTCCCCGTGTTTTCCACGACGCCTGAAATATGTTTAATGAAACACCAGGCAGAAGGACAGCCGTGTTTCAGTGGTCAGGTCACACGCGAGCTGAGTTGGGAAAGCTGCGAGATACGCGATCTAACTCTAGCACAGGCGAGCTTAGCATACAGAAATACAACCTCTCAGCAGACAGGTTCAACGCATAAATGCTAAGTTTTTCTTTGGTTACTGCTCAAGCTACTGCTGGACACTACTAGGCTAGTAGAGGGGGTTAGAAGATTCCATAAGAAGTTTGTTTAGCGGCAACAGGATCGGTGTCAAGGCGAGGAGCATGAACTAACTATAGCTCGGACTAATGATCGACCGCTCAGGCTTGCTGCTGGACACTGGCCTGACAAAGGTAGAAGATTCCATAAACACTTGTTTCCCGCCAACGGGATCAGTGACAGGGCAATGAGATATAAAATGGTAACCAGAGTCTTCGAAAACGAATGTGCCCCTGGCGACGTTCGTCAGAACCACAACTTCTTTTGCTTCCCCTCCAAAACAGCGAAACTTGTGTACACCCTGAAGTGAGCGAACGAATCAGCGAAACTCGTGTGCTCGATGTAAAAAGTATTTGTTCAGAAACTATGACGCTATCATATCAGACTCTGTGAGGTTCAAAATTGGATGACACGGTGTGACGTGTCCATCAATGACGTGCCCAGCGAAAATGTCACACCCGTCTCGTACGTTCGGCGCTTGCGAGGGCGAGGCGTTTCAACTCTTCTTCATTGAAGTTGCATCACCCCTCAAGAACACCTCAAGAACAACAACGGCCAGTGATAGCCAATGTGGTGCTGTTCCACTACCAGTTGCCTATTCAATGAGTTGCCTGCTCACCTTTCGACATGTTTAATGAAACACTTTGGAAGTCAAATAACCGCACTAAACCCCCATGAAACGTATGTAATCGAACCTCTTCAAGAGCGACAAACAGAAACCACGGCCCCTAACACATTCGGCCACAGGTCTCCTCAGTTCTTTCATCTCCTCACAACCAGGCTCTATCCTTTTTACTCCACTAATTCGTGTGGTTACGGCAGTTACGAAAGGAGGAACTGATTGCGCCTTTAGTTAGGATGATTTCTATCCGTGGTATAGTTTCTAGAGACAGCTAAATTACTCACAGGGTGAAGGTGTAAGTACTGCCGGGAAGTTGCCGCTTGTACAGAATCCTCAGGTTTTCTGCTCATTCTTAGGAAACTACTTGCATTCTTTCGACTGCTCAGGAGCCAAGTTTCCATTTCTGAGTCAGGACTAGTTTCTTGAGTTTCACCGCTACTACGCTGCATAGTTTGCCTACTCGCGTTTTATTACGTCTCGAACTTCTCACTATTTTTTGGCTGCTATTTAGTCTACATAACCCATCCCTTAGACAGACCAGCTCCACATTCTTGGAGTGTCAGTAATATGCTGCCTCGTTGGGCGACCCGCAGTTTGGCTCGGTTCATCCTGGGTCGCCTGCTGGGTCGGTTCCTGGAGACCGATCTGAGCCATGAGCAGATCGAGGTTCATCTGGGGTCGGCGTCGGTGCACCTCTCTGGTCTTCGCCTGAACACGGAATATCTAAACTCCCTGGTGAGATTATTATTTGTTTGGGTACAAAAGTAGGGCGTCGCGTCAGTGCACCTCTCTGGTCTTCGCCTGAACACGGAATATCTCAACTCCCTGGTGCGTCTCAGTGCGTTCATTGAAACCCACTGGTGCGTCTATGATTGAGTCGACTCAGAATCAGCATCATTCTTCCTCTGGAGTCCCCGCCTTACTGCGGAATATCTGAACTCCTTGAGGAGGCTTGCAGGGGAAGCTGTTCGGTAGACCACCTGAGTTTCTAGGATTGTTATTGAAAACTACGTTCTGGTCTTGACACTATCACCTTGACGTTTTCGCCTCTACAACCACGTGACCTTGTCTTGTCTTGAGACGCCTGCAAACGCTCTTCGTTCCACCCATACCCACTCCCTTGTATGCATGTTATACCTTTGACAGCTTGAGAACAACAAAAACGAGGCTGTAGGAGCCAAGGGAGCAGCGTCAACTGCAGCAGCAGCAGCAGCAGCAGGAAGAGAAGCAGGCGTTTCCGGAAGATTCCAGAACAAGCCCAAGAAGGCCCATCCAACCATCCGCTTCGTTTCAGGCCACGTGGAAAAGCTCTCCGCGTCTCTCCCTATAGTCACACTCTCCTCATTAGACCAGCCGTGTACAGTCAACCTAGATGGGATTTCCCTAGTAGCTGTGGTGTCGCCTCCTGGCCAATCAGGGGCGAGGGATGGTAGTGAAGGGGGGAATTTGGGAAGAGGGTCGAGGGAGGGAGATGTGGGGGGATATGCAGCCAGGCGAAGCAATAGTGGAGGTGAGAGAGGAGGGGTTGACAAGAGGAGTGAGAACGCAGAGGAAGACGAAGAAGATGAGGGAGATTGGGAAGAAGAGGAGGAAGAGGAGGAGGAAAGAGCGGAGGGTTTGGAGGGATTAGGTAGCGGGGATGGGATTTGGGCGAGCTTTCCCAGATTTCAAGGGGGTGTGCAGCTTGTAGCAGGGCTGGTAGAGAAGGTGTTACAGCGGTTACAAGTGTCTGTAACACATGTACAGGTTCGCATCGTGCTTGACGACGAAACGTCCGGGTTCGACCCGGCTAATGCAGAGGCTTGTAACGGAGGTGACTGTAACGGGGATAGGGCTGGTGCAGGCGCCTGGAGGGATGCGAAGGGGGTTGTTTTCCGCCTGGACGAGCTGTCTTATGGTCCGGGAGACTTGGAAGAGGTAGAGTTTGGTTCGGTAGGGTTAGAAGGGGTAGTCTGTGGTGAGGACCAGCAGGGGAGACAGGGGCAGGGAGGAGAGTGGGGAAGCGAGAGGGGGGAGGAGGGGGGAGATGGAAGGAGAAGCGATAGGGGTGGTAGTAAGAGGAGGGGAGGGGAGGGAGTGAGAGGCGCAGCAGAAATCGGAGGAGTGGGAGGTGGCGCAGATGGGTTGAAGGGAGGGGTTGCGCGAATGGTGCTGGGAGGGGGGCCTAAGGAGGTGAGGTTCAGTGGGGTGAGAGTGGGTATGGTGGGGTGCTGGGAGTGTGGAGGTGCAGTGAGGGAGGGCAAGGGTGCATGTGAGGATGAGAATGGAGGAGAGGAGACGGGTGGGAATGGGGACATGAATGGTGATGTCTATATCGAAGCAGCTTCTAGCATGTGCGCGAGTGTACTGGCTGGGCAGCAGTCCGTTTTCGTGGATGCTACTGACGAAGGAAGGGATGAGGATGGGGGCTCCTCGCTGTTTCAGTCTGCTATGGGGTCTGCTTTTATCGAGGATAGATCCGTCATGTTCCAGTCAGCAAGTGGAAGGTTCCGGGAAATGGATTCGTTTCAGGATGCACGTGCAAAGTTGGCACAATCTGAGTCACCACGTGCTGATGTGTCACTGGCACAGGGTGCAACTACAGCTGGGTTATCCCCCACACCTAGTGCCACGTGTCAAACCTGCAGTTCTGGCGGAGCAACGGCAGGAGGAGCGGAAGTGGTTGTGATTGGCGGGCCAGCAGCCTTAAAGCATCGTACCTCACAGCCAGTGTGTCCCAGAGAGCGAGACTATGGAGAGTATGGGGAAGAAGCAAGCCTTTGTGTTGATCGTGTCAAAGAGGGAGGGCAGAGTGCGAGGGAGTGTGATAACAGCAGAAAGAGCGAGATTGAGCATGAGGATGAGAGCAGACAAGAGAGAGAGTGCGAGCGTGAGAGAGAGAGTAGGGGGAGCATACTCGGAGGAGTGAGTGGGCGAGTGAGGGTGACTTTAAGGTTGCACCCACGTCCAATGCAAGGCCCAAGACAGAATTTGGCGAGTCCAGGAAGGAGCAGGGAGGGATTGTGTCAGAATGGAAGAGATTCAGGGAAGAGTAAGGAAGGGACGGACTGGGAGGGAGGGCCTGTGGTGGCTGTGGCTGTGCAGCTGTCGCCTGTGGTGATTCAATCAGATGTGATTCTAATGAAGGGGGCGCTTGAGGTGCTGGGGAGGTTGACAGTGGAAGATGGAGGGGAGGACGGAAGGGACAAGGAGGGTGAGGGGGGAGAGGCAGCAGCAGCTTCAGCAATACAGGCACCACCAGCACCAGCATCACCGCTATTAGCAAGAGCACAACCACCGCAACCAACAGCAACAGCAGCAGCAGCAGCAGCGCCAGCACGGGAAGCAGCAGCGTCTGTGTCGGGTGGTACAGAAGTGTCTGAAAAAGCAGTGGCAGTGTGGGCGGATAACTATGTGGAGGACTGGTTGGAGCAGCGGCTGCTGGAGAAGAAACGTGTCAAGGAGGAGAGGTGTTTGGCCAAGCAGCGAGCAGAGGAGGAAGCAGCTGATATGGAGGCCAGGTGAGTCTTGGTGGGGTGCTTGTTGGATCCGGGGAAATGTGGGCGGATAACTATGTGGAGGAGAGGCGACAAGCAAAGAAGCGAGCAGAGGAAGAGGCTGCTGAAATCGAGGGCAGGTGAGCTGTACTGAAACTGACTGCTGGGTGGGGCTGTGGTGCTTGTTAGAGCCAGGGCAGTGTGGGGGGATAACTTTGTGGAGGACTGGTTGGAACAGCGGCTGCTGGAGAAGAGACGGGCCAAGGAGGAGAGAACCGGCAGCCTTCCAACCGCAGTAATGCTGCCAGATTTCGTGTTCCCAGGCACCATCTCTTGCTTTCCCTTCCGTTCCCTTGGTGTTGCTCGTCTTTTCACCACTTCTCCCTCTAACCTTCGTCATCCTCTTCCCCATCTCTAACCCCTTTTCGCATCCCCTTCTCCTCCCCTATCCCCTTGCCTTTCCCATCCTCATTCCCAAGCATGAGTGAGTTTTTCGACTGCATCGACTCTGCCATGTTCCTCTCCTCCTCCCTCTCCGCCTCACTCCATTCCTCCACCAACCCTCCTGCACCAGCATCACCACTCCCCACCTCTCCTCCTCCACTTTCCCCTCATTCTGCTGCCGCCACTGCCGCCGCTGCTGCTGCCGGTACGCCAGCCAGCCTGCTTGATTCCTTCTTCTCACGAGCTGAGCTTGCTGGTGCTGCAGAACGAGCCAACTCCCACCATCCTTCCTCCTACTCGCCTTCCTCCTCCCCCTCCTCCTCATCCGCACCTCCCTCTCTCTGGTCATGGGCGCATGCAGCAGTCTCAGCAGTCTCCGCCACGTCAGCACTGGCAGCTGGGTTACCGCCCGCTGCTGCTGCGTCCTCTGCTGTCTCTGCATCCCTAGCGCTGGCAGGTGAGATGCGGTGTGTGTCATCATTGCTCCGCTGGCAGGTGAGATGCGGTGTGTGGCATCATTGCTCCGCTGGCAGGTGAGATGCGGTGTGTGTCATCATTGCTCCGCTGGCAGGTGAGATGCGGTGTGTGGCATCATTGCTCCGCTGGCAGGTGAGATGTGGTGTGTGGCATCATTGCTCCGCTGGCAGGTGAGATGCGGTGTGTGTCATCATTGCTCCGCTGGCAGGTGAGATGCGGTGTGTGTCATCATTGCTCCGCTGGCAGGTGAGATGCGGTGTGTGTCATCATTGCTCCGCTTGCAGGTGAGATGCGGTGTGTGTCATCATTGCTCCGCTGGCAGGTGAGATGCGGTGTGTGGCATCATTGCTCCGCTGGCAGGTGAGATGTGGTGTGTGGCATCATTGCTCCGCTGGCAGGTGAGATGCGGTGTGTGTCATCATTGCTCCGCTGGCAGGTGAGATGCGGTGTGTGGCATCATTGCTCCGCTGGCAGGTGAGATGTGGTGTGTGGCATCATTGCTCCGTTGGCAGGTGAGATGCGGTGTGTGTCATCATTGCTCCGCTGGCAGGTGAGATGCGGTGTGTGTCATCATTTCTCCGCTGGCAGGTGAGATGCGGTGTGTGTCATCATTGCTCCGCTGGCAGGTGAGATGCGGTGTGTGTCATCATTGCTCCGCTGGCAGGTGAGATGCGGTGTGTGTCATCATTGCTCCGCTGGCAGGTGAGATGCGGTGTGTGTCATCATTGCCCCGCTGGCAGGTGAGATGCGGTGTGTGTCATCATTGCCCCGCTGGCAGGTGAGATGCGGTGTGTGTCATCATTGCTCCGCTGGCAGGTGAGATGCGGTGTGTGGCATCATTGCTCCGCTGGCAGGTGAGATGCGGTGTGTGGCATCATTGCTCCGCTGGCAGGTGAGATGCGGTGTGTGTCATCATTACTCCGCTGGCAGGTGAGATGCGGTGTGTGTCATCATTGCTCCGCTGGCAGGTGAGATGCGGTGTGTGTCATCATTGCTCCGCTGGCAGGTGAGATGCGGTGTGTGTCATCATTGCTCCGCTGGCAGGTGAGATGCGGTGTGTGTCATCATTGCTCCGCTGGCAGGTGAGATGCGGTGTGTGTCATCATTGCCCCGCTGGCAGGTGAGATGCGGTGTGTGTCATCATTGCCCCGCTGGCAGGTGAGATGCGGTGTGTGTCATCATTGCTCCGCTGGCAGGTGAGATGCGGTGTGTGTCATCATTGCTCCACTGGCAGGTGAGATGCAGTGTGTGTCATCATTGCCCCCGTTGGAGCAGAGCAGACCCTTGCTAGTGCTATTGCACTAGTGCACTATTGCACCAGAGCAGACCCGTTGGCAGCAGTGCTAGTGCTCATTTTGCTTCTTTGTTACGGATTTGAGCACGAGCAGGCTCTCTCTGCTCCTCCACAAGCCCCCATCGCCTCATTCACTTCCCACCCTCCTTCATCTCGGTCCCACGTTCCCTTCCCGTTGTTTTCTCTCGCTTTGTATCGGCGTGCTCTGTGCTTTTCGGTTTACATTCCCATCTTCGTTTGTGCATTCTACCAAGTTTTTGCCTCGTCCCACCCTTCTTCTGCGCTTCCCTCTTTCCCCAACCGAGCAGAACCTTCCAAGCCTCTTCTCTCTCTTTCCCTCCGCATCTCCTGCATAACCCTCTCTCTGACACACTCGCCCGAGGGAAGCAGGGAGAGTGACATTGCTGCCGCTTCTTCTAGGGATGTTGAAACCGCTGCTGCTGCTTCTTCGGGTGCTGCCTGTGCTGGTGCTGCTTCTTCTGCTTCTCCTTCTTCGTCTGGAGTCTTTGTCGCTGGGAGTGGGAGAGCTGGAGCACTGGTCCTTGCGTTGGAGGGTATCCACGCCTCACAGGAGGTGAGATGAAAGCGTGTTTTGAGTCGACACAAAAATCATTTGGAATTAAATCTTTATGGTGCGGGGAGTGGGAGAGCTGGAGCACTGGTCCTTGCGTTGGAGGGTATCCACGCCTCACAGGAGGTGAGATGAAACACAGAATCCACGCAACACAGAATCCACGCAGCACAGAATCCACGCGTCATTTCTCGCATTTACCGTATATAGGTTGTTCGCGCACCTGGTTTTTGAGGCGCCTCATGAAGTGCTCACCTGCTTTCATGTGTGCCCAAGCTTTCCCCTCAGTGTTGAGGCCTTAAAAGACCCTCCGCTTCATCCCTAAGCATCATCCACATCCGCTTAATTCCGCATGAATTACACCTGCATTAGACTAGATTGCTTGCCCCCATCATCCTCCCCCTGTTCATCTCTCCCTCCCTCCTCGTCCGTCCAGGTCTCTGCAGCGGAATCCCATCACCACAACGAGCTTTCCATCAGCACCGTCACCCTCTCCTTCCACCCCTTGTGCTGGACTGGCGCCCAGTCAGGCCCATCCGCCTCATCAGTCGCAGCACCACCGGCAGCATTTGCATGGGCAGCAGCAGCAACAGCAGCAGCTGCTGGTGCTGCTGCTGGCAGTGCTGCTGGTGCTGCTGCTGCTGCTGCCACTGCAGCCACCACCATTAGAATAGGGCATTGCTGCAGAGGCGGCTGCAATGTGTACAGGAATAATGCAGAATGGGGAGGGGTGGGAAGGGGTAGGCAGCATCTCTACAGGGATCTTGCAGAATGTGGGGGATTAGGCAGCTATACCGGAGCATGTGCGTGCCAGCTGTACCAGAATCAAGCGCAATGGGTGCACGTGGCAAAGCTCCTGCCGCTTTCTCTCCCTGCTCCCGGCCTCCCCTCCTCCTCATTTACTTCCTCCCTTCGCTTCCCTTCCACCACGGTCACACCCTGTGAGCATCTGTGTTCTATCTGCAGCTGCAGCCCTATGAAACTCTTTCAGGTCTCTTCGTTTGCCGATTCGCCTGCACCTGTAGCTGCCGTTGCACCAGAGGCAAGGGAAAGAAAACGGAAAGGCGAGACCGCAGGAGCAGCAGTTGCCAGCCGCAGCAGTAGCAGCTGTGCCGGGGCCAGCGGGAACTGCAACCATATGTCGACACAATGGCACTTGAATGGTGTTCTATTGGAAAAAATCAGTAGCAGCAGAAGTAACAGCAGCAGCAGCAGCAGCAGCAGCAGCAGCAGCGTGTGCAGCAACTCGGTGCCAGCTGTTCGAATTGTAGTCTCCCAAGGCCGTGAGAGTGCACTTAACGATGCATACGAGCAAGGGCAGACGGATGTGAACGGATGCGCGTGCATGCATCCACGAGGAGGAGTGAGGCGTTTTGACGTTTGTGTACAACCATGCATGCATGTAGAGGTGAGTGTGCAGCCGTGTGTGGTGTGGGTGGAACCGCTCTCCCTCTCTTTCATCTCAAGCTTGATTGGAGAGCTGGGCGACGTGCGCTGTAACGGGGATGACAATACAGAGGATGCAGGGGCGGTGGAAAGAAAGGAGCAATCCCAGCACCAAGAGTGCCAGCAGCAGCAGCAGCAGCAGCAGCAGCAGCAGCAGCAGAAGGAGCATCAGCTGCTACAGGAAGGTTATTCGTGGCAGCAGGAATCAAAGCGACAAGCAAACATTGCTTCAGAGATTCCTCCTGACAGTGTTCCTTCTCCTGACAGCACCCCTTCCTCTGCTTGCAACAGCGGTGTCTCCCTCTCTGTTGGCGTCACCTGCCTTCGCCTCGTCCTCACTGCTGCGTCCCCCCAGACACAGCCGTCTCAGGTGCTACAGATGCAGCAGTCAAGTGGGCTACAGCCAGGGCTGCTACAGCCAGCAGCTGCGCAGGAGTCGCTTGCATGTGGCAGTGGTCATTTGCTTGTCGCTGACTTGCATTGCCTCAGGCTGTCATCAGGAGCAGCAGCAGCAGCAGCACCACCACCACCACCACCACCATCGTCATCATCGTCAGCAGCAGCAGCAGAAGCATTTGGTGACGCTGAGTCGTCTATGCTCAGCTGCTCCCTACAGCATGTGTCTGTGCATTCCCTGAAGGTCGCTCCCCCACAAGCTCGTTCAGGCAATGAGAGTAACAGTGAGAGTTGCAGTGAGAATGGCAGCGAGAGTAATGGCAGAAGCAGCAGGAGGGAAAGTGAGCGCGAGGAAAGAGATTGTTTTGAAAGACACAGGCAGTGCCTGTGCTTGGTCCAATTGAACTCTCTGCTCTCTGTCTCTGCTTCGGTTTCTGACTCTCCCTCGGCTTCAGCTTCTGTATGTGCCTCTGATTCTGGTTGTCAGAAGGATCTAGGAAGCAGCAGCAGGGGCAGTGAGGAGGAGCAACGGGTAACAGGTTACAGCAAGAGGGTGTCAGAGGCTTTGGGTCAGCTCCATTCAGAACCCCCACCGCAACACTGCCACCACCACCATAGTCACCATAACCACCACCATTATAGCCACCACCACCACCAGAACCACCATAACCACCATTATAACCACCATAACCACCGTAACCAGCACCACCATCATAATCACGAGCAGGAGCAGCAGCAGCATCAGCAGCATCAGCACGAGCCTGGTGTTGCAATTACGGTTATTGTCAAACAGAGAAGCAGTAATTTTCATGAGCCATCCAGGCTCAACGCAGCTCACAAGCTTTGGCAGTATGTGAGGAAGAGACAAGCGGTTCGAGGTGAGGGCGGGCGGGGGGTGACAGTGGGCGGCAACGGGGATTTTGTAACTTCAGCTGCGGTGACTGATAGAGAGAGGGAGGAGGAGCAGCAGCAGGAGAGAATGGTAGTGGGAGCAGTGAGAGGGAGCGCTGGTGCTGATCTGGCAGTCAGGGTGGGTGACGTGGCACTGGCGGTGGACCCTGCTGACGTGGCGGTGATCCACGACGTGCTGATGTGGATCCAGAAGGCTGTGGAAGGAGCCTCAAACAGAGCGGTGGAGGTGACATGCGGTGTGTCAAGTGGTGCTGATGTGACCCAAAGAGCCAGGCAGGAGCTGTCACGACCAGCGAAATCACCACCACAGGCGTCAGGTCCCATCTTTGAGAAGACTACTCTACACACAGTCAAAGAAAAAAGCCTTTCTGAAGCTGAAGAGTCCACAGGAAAGAGGAGAGAGGCGAGAGGGCAGCAGGCACCACCACCAATGGTGGTGCCAATGTTTCTCGACCTGCAAGTGGGTCTGGTCCAAGCTGAGCTCTTGTTTGAGCCTCGACTGGCAGTGGAAGCACGAGCAGTGGTTCCTACAGGCACGCTTCAGCAGCAGCAGCAGCAGCAGCAGCAGCAGCAGCAGCAGCAGCAGCAGCAGCAGCAGCAGCAGCAGCAGCAGCAGCAGCAGCAGCAGCAGCAGCAGCAGCAGCAGCAGCAGCAGCAGCAGCAGCAGCAGCAGCAGCGGCGGCAGCAGCAGCGGCAGCAGCGGCAGCAGGACACAGGTGTACATACTTCTTCCTCCTATGTATTTCCATTCCCTTCTGTTCCTGCCGCTACCACTGCTGCTGCTGCCGCTCCTGCTCCTGCTCCTGCTGCTCCTACTGCTACTGCCGCTGCTTCACCCCGAATCCTTGGCCCTTACTCCAAGCCTGTATGGGGCCAAGGCTGGTCCTCCCTGCGCTTGTGCCTCCAGCGAATCAAACTGTGCCACGTCAGCAGCTTGGCTGGTAACCCTAGCGCACGGTTCCTGATGCTGCGGCACGGGGAAGCGACGGTCTGGGCGGCGTGCAGTGATTGGTGGGGGTATGGGGAGCAGCAGCACGGTCATAGGCTGTCGATACAAGCTTGCGACTCTGTACAAGCCCCTGATTCGATACAAGCTTCCTCAGCACCTAATTTGCCAGCAAACAAGCTCACTAGCAGCCCTTTTACTAGGTTAAGGCGAGAGCAGGAGTGGCCAGTGCTGTCCACGTGGCAGGACGCCATTGGTCGGGGCAGCGGATCTCCAGGGGGAAACCCGCTGGAGAGGGGAGAGGCGGGGGTGTGCCTGCTGCTGGTGCAGTGGCCAGGAAGGTGCCAGGAAGCTTCAGTCACGGCTGGAAGTTTGTCAGGTGGGGGGAAGAAAAGGGGAGTGGAGAGAGGAAAGGAGAGAGTGAGCCAGGGTGGGGAGGGTGGAGGTGAGGGGGTGAGGGGAAGTGAGGAGGGCAGAGAGAGTGAGGGATTGGTGTATGTGTGTGTGAGGGGATTGACAGCAGAGGTGCCAGGGGGCAGGTGGGACTTTTTTCTTCCTCTCTCTACCCTGCTTCCTCCACAACAAAGGCCAGCTGTTGTTGCTGCCTCTGCTGCTTCTACTGCTGCTGGTTCCGCTGCTGCTGGGGAAAACGGGCGCTGTGAGGCGCCTCTTAGAGTAAGGGCTGTGGGTGTTGGTGGGAGTGACAAACTGGTATCCGCTGTGTCAGGTGCTGTTGGTGGTTGTGATCGTGGTAGCGAGCAAGGGGATCTGTGGATCAACCCGGCGCGGCAGCAGAAGCAGCAGCAGCAGCAGAAGCAGCAGCGGCAGGTGCAGCAGTTTGAGGGCCAGGGAGGGCCCTTGCTGGTAAGGGTAGGAGGAAGCAGGGAACAGGATCCGCAGCGAGGCACAAGCAGAAGCAGAGACAGAAGCAGGCAGAGAGCTCATGAGCCTTCAGCACAGATGGAACCTTCACCAGTCGACCCTCCTGGGGCAGCATCAGCAGCAGCGGCGGCAGGGGTGCAAAGACGGGCAAGCAATGCGCACGAACAGGCAGAGCCAAGTATATGTCCACCAGGATTGTGGGTGGTGGCAGATCTGATGGATGCTGGGCTGTGGTACGAGCCTCGGGGCGAGGCGTGGCCCGAGCCTCGGCAGGAGGTTCGGGCCGCGCCGGGGCTGAGAGTAGCTGCGCCTTATGCTGCGTGCCTGTTTGGTGGAGTCACAGCGATCCGGTTCGTTGCAGACGTGAATCCCACACCACCTTCATCAGCAGCAGCAGCAGCAGCAGCAACAGCGGCACCACCACTGGCATCAGCAGCAGCAGCACCACAGTCTCTCGCTCGGCCTCCATCTCTCACCCCTCCCCTCCTCCAAGCTGGTCTGCACCTCAGCGAGTTGTCTGTGAGCGTGCTGCCTGTCAGCCGCTGCTGCCTGCCCTTCCCTGGTCCAGCAGAATGCCCTGCTAGCTTACCCCCGGATGGCGAATTTCCCCAGCAGCAGAAGCACCAACTGTTTAGGCAGCAGCAGCTTATGCACAGGTCTCTTTGGTTACAGGCCTATCGCAATAACCTCTCTGCTCAAGTAAGCCGCTTTCTTCCCTCTTTTTCCTCTTACCTTCTCTCTTCCCCTCTTGTCTTCTCTCTTCCCCTCTTGTCTTCTCTCTTCCCCTCTTCCCTTCTCTCTTCCCCTCCTCTCTTATCCTTTTCCCGGGCCTACGTTTTCTCTTGCTTTCGCACCTGATGCTGTCAACCTCTTATTTTTTCACTTCCCGTTTCAGTTTCTGTTTGCGTTTCTTGAACTACTTTTCGTTTCACATGCGTCTTGCATTTCACACCCACCAATCATGACAAGTGTGGTCATTCCACAATAAGCACCGCACTAGCTTTACCTCATGATGCCCCTTTTACCACACCGCACCGCGCCGCACCGTTGTACCGCTTCACTCCAGATCGCCACAGCAACAAGTGTGCAAGTAGAGTTCGATGCAGCACGTGCTGCGTCAACATATTCTAGGCGCCGCAGTATTCGTTTCCCACCACCTTGCTTGTCATGCCTCGTACCTTTTGCCCCTTCACTCCAGATCGCCATGGCAACAAGTGTGCAAGTAGAGCTCGTTGCAGCACGTGCTGCATCAAGTCCTAGTGCTGCTGCTGCTACAGCTGGTGCTGCTACAGCTGGTGCTGCTGCAAGAGGAGCCTCTGCATCCTTCTCAGCTCGATCCACGTCACCTCCCGGCCTGGAAATCATCTGCTGCAACGCCCAATTGCAGGTGGACACGTGTCAGGACAGCATGCAGGTGCTGGGGCGGCTGGGGCAGCAGGTGCAGCTCGTGTTTCCCCCTGATGCTCCCCTTGTTCCCCCTGGGGGGGTGACGAGTAGGGTGTATGGGGGAGGTGGGGGGCAGACAGGGCAAGTAGAGCAGGCAGGGCAGGGAGGGCAGCAGGTGCAGCTCGTGTTTCCCCCTGATGCTAGCGCTGTTCTCCCTGAGGGGTTGACAGGCAGGGTGTATCGGGGAGGCGGGGTTGTTGAGGGGGAGGAAGGGCAGGGTGTGGGAGGACAGCAGCTGCAGCGGGTGTGTACCCCTGATGTGGCCCAAGTTTCCTCTGGGGGGTTGACGACAAATAGGGTGTATGGGGGAGGTGGGGTTGCAGGGGGGCATGTAGGGCAGGGAGGGGAGGGAAGGGAGGGAGGGGAGGGAGAGCAGGGATGGGAGAGAGGGGAGGGAGGGCAGGGAGGGGAGAGAGGGGAGAGATGGGAGGGAGGGCAGGGAAAGGGTGCTGATGCTGCGGCTGATGCTGCGGCTGCTCCTCCTGCCGCTGCTGCTTCTGCTGCTGCTGCTGCTGCCGCTGCCGCTGCGACTACTGCTGAGGGAAGGGATGCGATTGGCAGTAACGGGTGGAAGATTGGCAATGATGCTGGGCTGAGGCTTATAGAGGAGGAGGCAGGGGGGTGGGTGGATGTGATTGTACCGGAGCAATCAGGAGGAGTGATTGAAGGCGAGGTTGACTATAACAAAGGATGGACCTGGATGGAAGTGGAGAGCGGCGGGGAGAAGCACGTGGGATATAGTCACCTTCAGAAAGGCGAGCGATGCCCCAGCAGCAACAGATGGAGTGGTGAGGGTGCCAAGACTGGTGGCAGCAGCAGCAACACCTCTAGCCAATCACACATGCATCCTCACCCCCTTTACAGTCACCTTGACAGCAACAGATGGAGTCGTGAGGGTGCCAAGACTGCTGGCGGCAGCAACACCTCTGGCCAATTTCACGCACATCTTCACCCCCCTTATAGTCACCTCGACAGCAACAGATCGAGTCGGGAGGGTGCCAAGACTGGTGGTAGAAGCAGAAGCGGCGCCCACCAATCGCATCACGCCACGTGGCTTGAAGATATTTCCGGGCAGCTGGTTCCAGACCACGTTTCCTTGGTCCCCCCCTCGTCTCTCCAAAACACTCCCTCCTGCTGCTCTTCCTCCTCCTCTCTCCCTAGTGCCACGCACCGTGCTCCCTCCTCCTCTCCCTCCCCCTCCTCTCCCTCCCATTCCTCTCCCTCCCCCTCTTCTCCTCTCCCCTCTACTCCCTTCACCTCTCGCCCCGGCCATAAGCCCTCCTCTCTCCCAGCCTCCTATCCCCCCTCTGAGGCCCGGATCCTTCTCAGAAACTGCTCGCTCGTCTGCAGACTGAGCTCTGGCCGGCATATCTTGTCAAGTAGTGCTGCTATTAGCAGTGGCTTGTGTGCTGGTCTTTGTGCTGCTCCTGGTGCTACTGCTGGTGCTGGTGCTGGTTCTGGTGGGACGGAGTCAGCACAGGTTGCTGCTGAGTCGGCACAGGGTGCCGCTGAGTCAGCACAGGGTGCCGCAGCAAGGCTCCGATTGGAAGGCCCGTGCATGGAGGTGATTTTGCGAGGAGTGGACGTTCAAATAGACAAGTTTCAGCCAGACAGGCTGCAACCAGACAGGCTGCAACCAGACAGGCTGCAAGTACCTCTTGCTGCTGGTGTTGATGATAATGCCGATGCTGCTGGTGCTGCTGATGGTATTGCCAGTGCTGCTGCTGATGCTGCTGCCACTGCAGCAGAGTGTGCACAGGGAAACAGCCACAATTCCCCCCCGCACGGGGGCAAACGTGAGAGTGTGTACGCATCACGTGTGGCAGTTACTGTGAGGGAGATAGGAGTGTGGGACCAGGGCTTGCAGCAGGGACAGCAGGGGCTAGGGCAGGGGCAGAATGGGCAGGGGCAGCAGCAGGGGGGCAGGCGGTGGGCGCGGGTGGGAGGGGCGTATGGGAGGGAGGCAGCAGATGTGCGATCCAAGGCTCTGCGGTTGCTGCTGGATGCTGTCAGACCCAATCCAACGGTGGAGATTGACGAATTCAGGTGGGTTCTTGTTCTTGTTTCCCATGACATCAGGTGTGTTGAAACTGAGTGTATAGGTTCGGTGGGATGGTTTGCTCTAGTGGCGGCAGGGCAGGATCCCCCCCCCTTCCTCTCTTTCCCCCCCTCCTCTCTTTCCCCCTCACCGAAGGCTCTCAGTGACGTTGCTGCCAGTCCGCCTCAGCAGAGACTAAAACCACATGACTTCCTTTCGAGTATGCACACTCTCCGTTCTCTGCTGTAGGAAAGGGGCAGCTAAAAGCGCACTCTCCGTTCCTTCCATTGCTGTATTTTAGCTGCCCCTTCCCTCCCGCACACTCTATCTCTCCATTCTTCTGCCTATTCTCTTTACCTCTTTCTTTTGCACAACCTTCCTTCCTCTCCTACCTCTCTTGTGTTTATCCCTCACTTCCTCTCTTCCTCTCGCCCTCATTGCGGTTTCTCCCTGCAGGCTCTCAGTGGCTCTGCTGCCAATCCGCCTCTGTATCGATGAGAATCACATCGAGTTCCTCTCACGCTTCACTCCCTCTCTGCTTTACTTCCTTTGCTCCCTCTCGTTCTTCCCTGCTCTGCAGGCTCTCAGTGGCTCTGCTGCCAATCCGCCTCTGTATCGACCAGAATCACATCGAGTTCCTCTCACGCTTCTTCACCACACCAATCCCTCCTCCGACTGGTGATGTTACCGGGAATCACGGTGCTGCTACAACCAGTGTTGCTACAGCTGGCGCTGCTACAGCTAATATTGGCGCCTCTGAAGCCCCAGCGGCGGCAACAGCAGCGGCGGTGGCTGATGCAGAGCTCTTGCGGGATGCCCTGCTGCCATTCTTCCAGGTCAGGCGTTGGTCCATTGTTCCACTAGGTTCTTTTCTCTCATACAGTAGCAGCAGCAGCAGCAGCAGCAGCAGCAGCACCAGCGGCGGTGGCTGATGCAGAGCTCTTGCGGGATGCCCTGCTGCCATTCTTCCAGGTCAGGCGTTGCCCTTCGTCCAGGCTTGAATTCAGGTTCGGTTTTCTGGTAACAGCATCAACAGCATCATCAGCAGCAGCAGCTCAGGTTCGTTTTTCTGGTAACAGCATCATCAGCAGCAGCAGCAGCAGCATCAGCGTCACAGAGCTCTTGTGGGATGCGTTGCTGCCATTCTTCCAGGTTTTTATTTTTATCTATGTATTATGATAATATCTGTTCTGATCCGGATGTCGAATAATATCTGTCATACTAGGATCTCGGTCCTGATCTGATCGACTATGTGCCTCGTTGCTACTACCTCTCAGCCCTTTCTGCCTTATGAGTGTTTCTTCTCCCCTTCCTGTCCCCCGCCCTTTCCCCAGGTGTGTGAGATTCGGGCCTTCTCAGTTTTGTTCGTCTATGTGCCTCGTCATTTGGATCTCCCATCTCTTTCTGCCTTGCTTTTTTCCCAACCACCTTGAACACAAGCGTTCAATTCACTGTTATCTGCTCTGTCCTCCATTCCCCCACCTGCAGGTGTGTGAGATTCGGGCCTTTTCCATCCTGATCGACTATGTGCCGCATCGCTTGGATCTATCGGCCCTTTCTGCTGGCAATTACGCTCACCTGCTCAACCTCATCTCATGGAAGGTGGGTGCATGCATGTGTGTGCGTGCGTGAGTGGGTGGGTGGGTGGGTGGGTGGGTGGGTGGGTGGGTGGGTGGGTGGGTGGGTGGGTGGGTGGGTGGGTGGGTGGGTGGGTGGGTGGGTGGGTGGGTGGGTGGGTGGGTGGGTGGGTGGGTGGGTGGGTGGGTGGGTGGGTGGGTGGGTGGGTGGGTGAGGTGGGTGGGTGGGTGGGTGGGTGGGTGGGTGGGTGGGTGGGTGGGTGGGTGAGTGGGTGCATGTGTCGCTTGGATCTATCGGCCCTTTCTGCTGGCAATTACGCTCACCTGCTCAACCTCATCTCATGGAAGGTGCGTTGTGTGGGTCTGAGGGGTTGCATGCATGCATGTCCGCTTGGTTAGATGGCACTGTGCATGTGTTGGGAGGCGTCTCAAAGTTCTTTCTGCGGGCAACTGCGCTGACCTCCTCAACCTCATCTCATGGAAGGTGTGTCGGGGTGTTGTGGGTGGGTGAGCGGGTGCGTGGGTGTGATTGTACGCGTGTTGGGAGGCGTCTCAAAGTCCTTTCTGTATGCAACTGCGATTACCTCCTCAACCTCATCTCATGGAAGGGGCCTGTGGGTAGGTGACTCGGTTGGTGGGTATGTGGGTGGATGGCTTTCCTCCTCTGTTCCTTCCTTTTGCAAAGCTCCCTCTCTGGTAACCTTCCCCCTCCTTTTGAGACGTCTCAAAAGGATGGATTTCCTCCTCTGTTCCTTCCTTTCGCAAATCTCCCTCTCTGGTAACCTTCCCCCTCCGTACGTACCCACACCTCATGGCAGGGCGTTGAAATCGACTTCACAAAAGCAAGGGTGGTGGGCGTGCAGGGGTGGGACGGGCTAGGGGGGGCGCTCATCAGCCAATGGGCGGAGGACATCTGTCGGCGCCAGCTGCATCGGGTGGTGAAGGCAGCAGGGCCTGTCAGCCCCCTGTGGGCGCTGGGTGCAGCTTCTATACAGCTAGTGCTGCTGCCGGTTCAGGAGTACAGGCAGAACAAGAGGCTCATGCGAGGAGTGAAGAGAGGTGAGGAAGGGTGTTAGGTGGTGAGTCTTTTAATGTCCCGACGCTGGGGGTAAGGAAGGGTGGAGAGGTGCTGGGTGCTCTTGTCACAACTGAGTGAGAGAGAGGTGAGGAGGAGCGGTGGGGAGGCGTTTATTTTCGAGACATCTCAAAGATGGTACTCACCTCATCCTCGGAGCCTCCTCGCTGCCCCCTCGCCCAGACTTTTGAGTCCACTCAAAAGTCAGCTCGGCACCTCATCTTTTAAGTCCACTCAAAAGTCAGCTCGGCACCTCATCTTTTTAAGTCCACTCAAAAGTCAGCTCGGCACCTCATCTTTTAAGTCCACTCAAAAGTCAGCTCGGCACCTCATCTTTTAAGTCCACTCAAAAGTCAGCTCGGCACCTCATCTTTTAAGTCCACTCAAAAGTCAGCTCGGCACCTCATCTTTTAAGTCCACTCAAAAGTCAGCTCGGCACTCACCTCATCCTCCGAGCCTCCTCTCTGCCCCTAACCACCCCCATCACCAGGTGCCATCTATTTCCTTCAGTCGCTCTCCCACGAGTTGCTGGGCGTGGGAGTGACAGTGGCAGCCGGCACACACCACCTGCTGCAAGTAGCAGAAGCTCTTGGTGCTCCTCTCACCCTCCTCTCTGTGCCCCTCACCCTATTCGTGTGCCCCTTTACTTTCTCCTGTGACAGGTGCCATCTTTTTCCTTCAATCTCTCTCCCACGAGTTGCTGGGCGTGGGAGTGACAGTCGCAGCCGGCACACACCACCTGCTGCACGCAGCAGAGCTCGCCCTCGCTGCTACAGCCAGCGCTACAAACGCTGGTACAAATGCTACAGCTGGTCCAGCTGCTCTTGCTACATCAGCTGCAGGTGTTACAGCCGCTACAGCCAGTAATCGTCCTCCCTCCACAAATCCCCTTTCCTCTTCTTCCACTCCCTCTGCACCCTGCACTTTCTCTTCCTCCTCTTGCTCCTCCTCCTCTCGTTCGTTCTCTTTCTACTCCTCCTCAACTTCCTCACCATCCGCCCGTGCAAGCAGCAGCCGCCGAGATAAGACACCCTGTGACTGGCGGGAGCTTGGGGAGCATGGAAGCTTCGAGGAAGGCTCACACTGGGTCACTTTGTTTGCTGACAGTGGCAGCGGCAGCAGCAGCGGCAGCGGCAGCAGCAGCAGCGGCGATGGCGGTGGCTGTGGCAGCAGCAGCGGTATTGGCGGTGGCTTTGGCAGTGGTATTGGCAGTGGCAGTGGCTGTTCTTCTGTAGGAGCCTTGGCAGCAGCTCAAGAGGTGCTGAACCGTAGTGTGGAAAGAAGCCTGTCCTCGTTATTAGGTGCTCCGCTAAGGAAGTGGAGGCGAGGGGACGGAATGCCTGCAGTGGCAGCAGCGGTGATGAAAGGCATCCCAGCAGCAGCCATGGCTCCTGTGGTTGGGGCTGCTGAAGCTCTGGAGGAGACACTTAGAGGGGTGAAACGCACGTGAGTCTGCCTCTCTCTCTCAGATGCATTTGAAATTGAATGGCATATCCTTCTCGTTTTGGCCATCCGTTAGTCGTGCCAAATCAGGCTCCTGCAGAAGCCAGCCATGGCTCCTGTGGTTGGGGCTGCTGAAGCTCTGGAAGAGACACTTTGAGGGATGAGACGCACGTGAGTGGTAAAATGTCAGTCACGCACGTGAGTGAGTGACGCACTATGCACGTCAGTCTCGTGACGCATTTCACTACGCATTCAAAAGATCAGTTCACTACGCATTTCAACTTGGAATTTCCGGGTTCAACTGGAAGGTGGCAATGCAAGTGTGTACATTCCCCGTCCCAGAGCCTCCCCTGGCACATTCCAACTTGGAATTTTCAAGTATCAGCACAGACTTCTATTCACCGCCTTAGCAGCTGCTGTAGATTCCGCACAAGTGCTCAGTCTCTCACTTGTTATTGCTGCCTGCCATCTCCCTCCCCGCCTGTCGATCCTTGCAGGATTGCGCCAAGGAAGTAGCAGTGGTAGCTGAGCTCCCTCTTCCATCTGATGTGAGCATTTTCTACGCATAGTTTTGATGTGCCCAAACAGCATTCCTGAAGTCGAACAGTCATAATGAGGCGAAGCCGAGGTATCCAGTGGAGACGAGGGAGGCAGTAAAACTGCAGCATCTGTCAACCACATAGACTTCAACAAATAAAGTGATTATCCGAGTTGCCGAGTCTAAAGTGGGTTGGTATGGGAAATTTCTGGACAAACAACGTTACAGGAGATCAACCTGATTAGAGTTTGCTGGATGCATATTTGCTGAACACCAATATTTTCAAACAGAAATAAATAAATAAATCATGAATACAGACAAATGCAAACCATATTCCAAAACACTGTACTTCCCTCCCAGCGTTCCCTTCTGACCGAGTTCCCCATTTCTTCCCATCACCTTCACAACAGCTTCACAAGTCACAACTATCCATCATTGCATAGCCTATCTGGTATTAGTGGTAGTAGCGGTTTTAGGGGGGAATTGTCTGCATGACGCACGTGTTGGTCGAATGGTCCCAGCTCATCGGAACCAGGAACTTCATATTCTTGAGCCCCACGAGGTTGTACTCAAATTCCTGACCTTTAGCATTCTTGGCCGTTAGAAGGGTTCCGTAGTATGGGAGACCGGGTACTAGTAGGCACTTATTGACGGGTTCGTATCCGTAAGCGTCGAACCAGCCGTAATTTAAGGGTGCATTCCTGCAGGGACACTTGTGTCTCAATCCCCGATTTCCCGAGTCGCGCCTGTAAATTTGCCAAATGTTGTGTCACAAACAACCAATGTATCGCGACTCTAGGCGACCAGGCGAGATGTACAGTTGTGCGCATTTGTTTGGGTGACACAAATGACTACATCCCTTTTTTCAACCGCTTGGCTGGGGTGTGGTTTCGACGAGCGGGGTTTTTTCCCGCACGAAATTGGCATTGCAGGCTGTCCAGGTGCATTGACATTTCGAGCCGCGTGCGAATTTTTCACATTGACGAGTCGGATTACAATTCGTCAGCGACGTCAGCGCGTTTCACGCTGACCAATAAAAAATACAGTAATGGTCGCGGAAATGCGACTCGCAATTGGGACACACTACAGTTTATGCTGTTTTTGTGTGTCACAAAGCGATTGAGACATTTGTGTCTCCACAGGAATTATCCCTAAGTCGGGATCCGTCGCAGCTCCCGCGATCATGTTAGCGATCGAGTCAATCCCAAGGTTCCCGTTGGGCGTCGGGGTTCCCTTATAATACGCCATGCAAGGTTGGCATTCGGAATGACCCAGCAGTGCAAACACGACGGGGTCCGAAGTGGAGTCCGGCTTGAGATATCCCATCGAGTGGAGTCCGCAGTTATCCTCGCAAAAGCCATCGATTTTCACGTTCTTGCTTGCGACAACCATGTAGATACCGTTTGCGTCGTAGGGAAACGGCTTCTTGCGGCCAATCTTGCTTTGAACAACTGTGCCACAGAAACAAAAAAAATCAAAAACAAAAAAACCGCACGTGGTGTGACAATTAGATTCAGTGATAAGGGGCGAGAGGCTAGTAAGAAGGCAAGCATATCATACCAGGAGGAGGCAAGCGGTTTGACGTGATGCCTGCAATCAAACAGGATACATGATGTACTTGCGAAAGGACGGCACTTGTGCTGAAGAGGCACACACACCTTTAAAGGCAGTGCTTTCATTGATATTCTTCCCCACAGATCCTTTGTCTTGGATTACCTTCGCGACTTTCACCTGGGAAAGGCGGCAGGTGGGGGAGGATTGGATTGTTTAACTTCATGAAAACCGCAGCAAAAGAATTCTGTATATTACAGTCCGTATCTTGCAGCAGTAGCCCGTTCCGTGGTTCACATTTTTTTCCTTGTTTTGTTTCTAATGTTCCTTTTTAGTGAAACCGTCGTTTGAAACCCTTCGATCATGCCGAGGTACCGTAGCTCGCTCGATGCCGCACCTGTCTGGTGCTGAACGTAGCATTTCATTTAAAAAAATCACACACACAAAAAAAACAAAAAACAAAACCAACAACAACATACCTTCGTGGTGACGAAAGCCTTTGTCCCGTCTTCCGCCTCCGAGTAGTATTTCGTACTGGTCGCCCACCAGTAGCTCACTTTGGGATCACCGGCCGCACCCTGTTTATTGGCGCTGTCCAGACTCAGTGACGCGTCTCAAAAAATTTGGGCCTTCGATGTGACCTTGAGCTAACCTCAAAGTCGCCGCGAGGTAACCCACCTGTGGGTTACCCCGAGGTGCTACTCGGGCTATGGTTCAAGTGAACACATGCCCACGATGTGACCTACGGGGTCACCTACAGATCGGGGGCAGATGTGACCACGAACTCAACACAGTTCGGGTCGACCTGACTCAAGCGAGTCGTTTCGATTGGGCCACGTGTACATAAAAATTGTGAAAGTAGTGTTACACAAATTTTATGAATTCAAACAAATATAAGATTTTAACAATCATGTAAAAATAAATTGCAATAAATACAGAATGAAATTTAAATGCGAACATAAAATAATAATTCTGTATTAAAACAATTAGTAGTATTTGCATGATCATTGTTTTGTTCACATACGTTTACATCATTTACAAACAAGCAATGCTTTCACAGCCTCTTTAAATGGCAACACTTTACATACATCCAACTTTACACCTATCAGGTGCACTCAAATGTAGAAGATCTAATTCTTAGCAATGTCCTTAATAGTTGCATCCCTGCAAAATACACAGCGCTTAGTTAATAAGGCAGCACGGAAACACAGACATGCCTTACCTGCTGCGGAGAGGAGATGTTGTAAAATACTTATAACGGGGTACCTATCTGCAAACAAAACAGTCACAAGTGCAAAAAAAACGCATCGCATAACAACGCACATGCCTTTCATCGTATGAAAGAGAATTCGTAGCATGATAACATAAACTTACGGGTTCGCAAAGGCGATAGCTATATCGACTTACTTGTTCACGAAGGCGGAATGCACGGGTGGAAGAGCTTCCGCACGCGCCTGTTTCGGGTTGTAGACAATCCTGTAAACACACACGGGGGGGAACAGGCACGAAACAGAACACACAGCAACGAATATACGACGGGAGGCTATAGGTTAACCAACTTACCGAAACATGACGGCGCATACGGTTAGAAGTGCAGCCTCACGCTCCATATTCGTGTTGAGGTTTTCTTTACTGAACAAGCACAGGGGGCGACATGCAACAATCGGAATTTTTTTAAAAAGCCGATGGGAATGATGATCCCGTTTGCTGCTAGATTGCTAGCAGCCGACCAGAATATGAGTAGAGGCAGCGACGCGTGGATTCGAGGTAAGAGGTAGTAGAGGGCAAACGTATGACATGCTAAGGAATAAATCAAGAAATGAACAGAGAGAGACTCTCTTGAACTTGTTGCTGGGGACGAAGGTACGGTTGGAGCAGGCGAGAGAGATGGGGTGGTGTGGTGACGTGGCGAGGGGCAGTACAGGTTCAAGGGATTCGACATGGCTTTAAATGATTCGACAAAACGTCAAGTTCTACGACGTGGCGTGAAAGTATTGTACACTGTGTCATTCTGTGTCAGCTGGCAGTCAATCCATGCAAGCAACCTGCCCGAACCTGCCTGTGTGGGTGCATTTATGGACAAGAAACGAGCATAGGTTTTACTTTTCTGACCTGGAAGTACAGCGAGGCTGGAAAAAAATATCAGCCACGACAGTGCTGTGCTGGACAAAATGCGATGGAGGTGTGGTTGGACTTTTGCAGCAGTAACAATTTCACTGCTTGTTACCGTACGAGAGTTTTCGTTTTGACGAGCAGTGTTTTCGCCTGATGTAGGTTGGATATTTTGAAGCCTGAGGCAAGTCTGCGGTTGACTTCGCAGTGATGTTGTGACTTCGGGTCTTGTTCAAGACATGTTTTGGCGAAGTTGGTGTAGGTAGCCCCGAGGTAACCTGCCTTGGGGGTGAGTTGAGCCCCCCGCAATTTTTGAGACGGAGATGAAATTCTCAATTATAGTCTGTCCCGCTTTTGCTGGCCAGGTGCCATAGTAGATTATGTACACATTCAGCGTCGCGCCGCTCATCACGGAACCGCCGTGGTATTCGATGGGATGGACCGTCTTTTCCGTGACGGACGACGCGAGCCCCTGTTTGCCGCATCTGTCGCGTCGCTCCGTGCCGAAGCTGGTTTTCGTTCTGATCATCTGCACACGCCGAGAGTCACCGCGCGGGTCGACGACGTGGATCAGCTTTCGCTCACGGGCGCTCAGCTGTCGCTCATGGCGGTACTCGTCGTGCGCCTGTCGCATGCGAGCGACGCGGCGCACGGGGCTGGCGAATGCGGGTCGGACTATCCATAGGCAGACGAGCATTACCGAGAGAGCAAGCAGTGGGGTATTGAGGGTTTTTGCCATGGTGGAAAACAGCGAGACTCTTGCTGAATTGTCATTGACATCTTCTAGTAGTAATATACTGCG